CCAGACACTATTCTTTCTGGTAGCCAGGCACCCTCTGGTTTAGTGATCTCGTCATGAAGGTGAATATCAAGTAGGGCCATGTCATAAGAACTAATTATTTCTAGATTGGGGCTGGAATTAAGTGCAAGCCCAAAATCCATTCATATATCTATGGTTTAAATCTGTCTCTGGTTCAGTTTAGAGACATCCTTCTCATTTCATGATAGAGAATATTATCAATCATCCCCCTGAGACATATGGTAATTTCATTGATTGTGTCATTAATTTAGTCAATTCTATAGAATTTAAAACACTGTTGAGAAAAGGAAAAGATACATGTATAGGATGGCTTTTCAGACCGAAGTGCACTAATTGTTGACTTGTACAGATTAAACACTTAAGTGACTGGGCACTGTATACACGAAGAATGGGGGTTGGTGAAAGGGCAAAGCTGACCATAGCACACGTTCACAAAGGCAGAACCATGTCTACCAGACTAATGCTTGTCATAAGAAAGCAAGGATAGCGCCAAAGTAGCAAATAGATGGTAGTCCCTGGCCACCCTCCAAGCAGGAGATCCAAACGACTCCATCATCTCCTCTGCTGCTTCTCACACTGGGGTGTTTCAGCCTTAGGGAATGGGTCATTTCCTTAAATCTGCTACCGGTGAATTTGAGGTAGAGCCCAGTTTCTTAGCGGGGTTTTCACATGGAATCCTTCTGGTGTGTGGCCTGTGAAGGATGTTGTGTGCCTTAACACTGAGTCTAAAGTCCCAGTTGTCTACAGCACGTGGCTTGGGTCACCAAGAACTGGATAGCAGCTAGGCTAAGAGTGTGTAATTAGGAATATAATACCAGAGTATTCTCCTTGAGTTCTCTAAGTATTGTTAAGAGTCCGTCCACCCACCCCCCAGTTTCCCCACCAACAGAAATGTCATTGCCTTCCCTGAGACAGACAGGTCCGCCTCCCCCCATCTGGACTTGAATTCCCAGGAAGGTTTACTTTTTGCTCTTCAAGGAATGTCTGTTGATTTGGGGTGAGCTTAGCACAATATTATGTGGCAGCAACAGAAGATGGTCTTCTCTTTCTGCCCATATCTTCAGAAACTGACCCCAGCTGAGATGTCCATGTAAAGGGGTGATCTAGGATTCCCTAGCCCATTGTTTGGGAGATCAGATTAAAAGACTACATGACCTGAGAGCAGAAGCCACGTTTGTCTTGGTGTTGTTCCTTATAGGAGTGGACTGACACAATATTTGCCCTTTTGTGATTGACTCACTTCCCTGGGCATAAAGATTTCCAGGTCCCTCCATGTCATGAGGTGTTTCATGATGTCACCTTTTTTAGGGATGTATAGTATTCCATTGTGTGTATGTACCATTCTTGCTTTATCCATTCTTCTACTGATGGGTATTTGGGCTGTTTCCAGTTTCTTGTTATTGTGAATTGTGCTGCACTGAACATAGGAGAACATGCATACGTCTGTTCATGTTCTGTTCTGCCTCTTAATTCTTTGGGATTTATGCCCTGTAAAAGTATTACTGGGTCATATGACATTTCTATTCCCAGTTATTTTAGGTAGGATACTGCTGTCCACAGTGGCTGTACAGCACCAAGTTCTTTGGCAGAATTATACCATTGTTCCAAAGACTGATGGGAAATGTAGTTAAAGTAAAAGAAATCATGAATATTATACAATGATATATGAAATATGTATTTAGTGATGAACTAAAGAAGAGAATGGTATATGCATGATGAAATCTGGGGGCACTTCTATGCTTCCACAAAAAAATTTTAAACCATTTTATTGGGGGGCTCTTACTGCTCTTATAATAATCCATGGTGCCAAGCATATTTGTACATATGTTGCCATCATCATTTTTGAAACATTTTCTATTTGAGCCCTTGGTATCAGCTCCTCATTTTTTCCTCCTTCCCTCCTGAACCCTTGATAGTTTTTTTTTTTTCATGTCTCCCTTCACCCACTTTTCTGTTGTTTGTCCCCCTGGGAGGGTGGTGGTTATTCGTAGATCATTGTGATTGGCCCCCCGTTTGTCCCCCACACCTTCCCCTACTCTCATTGTTGGTCCTGAGGGATTTATCTGTCCTTGCTTCCCTGTGTTTCAAGTTCTTATCTGTACCAGTGTACATGCATGCTGTGGTCTAGCTGGATTTCGGAGGTAGAATTGGAGCCATGATAATGGAGGGGTGCTTCCACAAACTTTGATGGCATCCCTACCCCCAAATTCAAGAGCAGGCAAAGTAGATCTAGTGGAGAATTCTAGTTGTACCCAGGGCAAAGGTAAAAAGAGTCACCAAATGCCATTCAATGCTTCTTTTCCCAGGCCTCCTGGAAAGATTGATAGAAATGAACACAATCTTGGAAGATATGCAGAAGTCTCTGGACATGTTTTTGGAGACCAAGCGCCATATTTTCCCTCGCTTTTATTTCTTGTCCAATGACGACCTCTTGGAGATCTTGGGCCAGTCTCGTAACCCAGAAGCGGTGCAGCCGCACCTCAAGAAGTGTTTTGACAACATCAAATTGCTCAGGATTCAGAAGGTCAGCAGAGGGGGCGCCATAACGGGGTGGAAGACAGGGTAAGGGGTGATGTGCCAACATTCAAGACTTTGGAGGCGACCACACCCTCCCCAAAGGAAGGGAATGTTGATTAGTGCTTCCGGGTTTTCACGGGATAGGAGTTCTTGGAATCAGCAGTACTGAGGGAAAAGTGAGGAGCAGAACTTGTCTTGAAAAGGCCACAATGCTCTTCAGAGTCAGCAGGTACCAAACGTAGGCAACCTGGACCATTCTGACCTCTCTTTTCTACAGGTTGGGGGGCCCAGCAGCAAATGGGAAGCTGTAGGAATGTTCTCTGGTGATGGCGAGTATATTGATTTCCTCCACTCAGTAATTTTGGAAGGGCCTGTGGAGGTGAGTTCTGACAAGGATGTAAGAACCAAGCTGGCTTCTTTTCCTATTGGAAAGTTCACTGGGCTGTATGCACAGAATATCTGTGTAGGGACAAAGGCTAAGGAGCTCACCACCACCCCCACACCCACCCCCGCCATTGTTAGAAACTACAGCCTTTTTGCCTTGAATCTAAGTTTCCTTCTGAAAATCAATCTCTCCGAGCCTCTGTCTCCCTCAGAGACTGAAACTACCCGCTGCTCAGTTCATACTTTCCTCTGCGGCCCAAAGTCCTGTTTCCTAAGTACTTTCCCTCTTGGAAGCCCTGTCTCTGGGTCTGACCCACGTGCCGGTTTCTTCCTTCCCTCAGGCCTGGCTTGGTGAAGTGGAAAAGAGCATGCGTGTGACCCTGCGAGACCTTCTCCGGAACTGCCGTCTGGCCCTGAAGAAGTTCCTCAACAAGAGAGACAAATGGGTGAAGGACTGGGCTGGACAGGTGAACGTCCACCCACAGAAACGGGGCACAAGAAACCTAGCGCTTACAGGGGAGCAGCAGATGCGACACCGAACCTTCTTTCTCCTGTTCTGAACTTTGGCCCTAATACCTTACCTCCAGGACCCTTAGCTACTGGCCTTAGCCACATGCCCCTCCTTCATAGCAGATTAGCCATAATGAGAGAGGGCTGGAAGGAGCCAGAGTTGGGAGCAGGGCTTGTGGATGGCCAAGGGCAGGGCGATGGAATACCACCTTTCTTCGTCCTCACCTACCCCAGGTGTTGATCACAGCCAGTCAGATTCAGTGGACAGCTGATGTCACCAAATGCCTGCAGACAGCTAAGGAGCGGGGAGACAAGAAAATTCTCAAGGTCATGAAGAAGAAGCAGGTGAGGAGCCCCACAAGTCCAGGACTAGGCTGGAAGTCGGCATTGGAGGGCAGAAGGAATCAGAATCAGAAATGACGGCGGGACAAGGATCCAATGAATGTACTTTATCACCGACGTCCAGCGAGCGGCTGGTGGGGGTGTTTCATAACCATATGGTATTAGGCGGGATGATTGGTTCTTTTGATGGTGGGACCCAACACAAAGACACTTGCTTATAGCTCCAAAGAAACACGTAGGGCCACACAGAGTGTCGAGCCCAGGGTTAGGACAACAGTAAGCTGGAGTTGTAGGACATGTATTCTGTATGACTAGCAAGGTGGTTGTGGCTAAGTTTCGGAGGCTGTCGACTGAATCATTTGAATAGTCCTGCAGGTTCTGGGGCCTGGGGGATGCCTTTGGTTGTTTGACCCCAGAGCAATTAGGGCAGGTGCATGGTGGCCCTGGGGTCTGGGCATCCGATAAGGGAAGTGGTTGGAGTGTGGGTTTAATCAGCTATTGAATAAGGGGGACTGTGTGGCGCCAGTCAGGAGCTCAGAACTCTTGTCAAGACAGCATTTGTGGAATGTACTATAACTGGGTGTCAAGGGTTAAAATGGAGTTGAAGTCAATGTACACTTGGAATGAGGCTTTGGGTGCTTCTTTCCATCTTGACCTCTTCTTCACTCCTTATTCCACAGGTGTCGATACTAAATAAATATTCAGAAGCTATCAGGGGAAACTTGGCCAAGATTATGCGGCTTAAAGTTGTGGCTCTGGTGACCATAGAGATCCATGCCCGGGATGTGTTGGAGAAGCTTTATAAGAGTGGTCTCATGGACGTCAGCTCCTTTGACTGGCTCAGCCAACTTCGGTTCTACTGGGAGAAGGTACAGATGGTCCAACTTTGAACTCGTGACCTCTAGAGACAGAATTTTAATCCAACCCTGAGCCCTATCAGTACTCCACCCCAGCTCTTAGATCTATCCCAAGCCTCCTGAATCAGGACCCGTAAGCCATTTTTCCTGTTGGCTCTCACTCTAGGCGTCCCTTGATCACCTAGTAGCTGCTGCAGCCCATGGATTGCAGTGGGCATGCAGTGTGAAGCCCGTTCTCCATCTTTGCCTTAGCTCAAAGTGAACGCCTCGGCTTTTCACTATAATCACCCTGCCATCTCCAATACCACAGTCAGTCAGTTCCCCAGCTCTAACTCTTCCTCCGTGCCTACCTCTCTCTCGCCCACCCTGTGTCTCAGGAGCTCGATGACTGTGTGATCCGCCAGACCAACACACAATTCCAGTACGGCTATGAGTACTTGGGTAACTCCGGCCGGCTTGTCATCACCCCTCTGACGGACAGGTACGGTGGTGGGGACAGGGCAGTGAGTGCTGAGAGGAGGATTCCCGGAGTGACTCAATTTCCTGCCCGTCTGTTCCCAGATGCTACATGACGCTGACCACGGCATTACACCTGCACCGAGGGGGCTCCCCCAAGGGCCCCGCAGGCACGGGGAAGACGGAGACCGTGAAGGACCTGGGCAAGGCTCTCGCCTTGTATGTCATTGTGGTGAACTGTTCAGAGGGCCTGGACTACAAGTCAATGGGCCGAATGTACTCGGGCCTGGCCCAGGTCAGTATCCTCGCACTCTGTCCCAGAAGCCCCTTACCTATCGGTTAGGCTCAGAGAAGCAGCTGAAACCTACACCTGGTTCTGGGTTCTGTGGCTTACGGCGCTCCATGGCCTCATTTCATTGTTACCATTGGGATAGCCTTTCATGTCTCACTTCGCTATTTCTAAAACCAGTAGGTTATGTGGGGATTCAATAAGATCATGCATGTAAACTGCCTGGCAAATTGTAAGCACCCCGTGTATACAAACACCCTCCTCCAGCTTCCTCCCCATCCAGACTTTGCCCTTAGCTGATGGAATGCTCTGACCAGATGACAGCCTTGCCATTCTGGCACGGCCCCACCCCTGCCCCCAGTCACTACTCACTTTGGTTTTTTGGGGTTTTTTAAATCATTTTATTAGGGGCTCATACAGCTCTTATCACAATCCATACATACATCAATTGTGTAAAGCACATTTGTACATTCATTGCCCTCATCATTCTCAAAACATTTGCTCTCCACTTAAGCCCCTGACATCAGTTCCTCATTTTTTCCCCTCCCTTCCTGCTCCTCCCTCCCTCATGAGCCCTTGATAATTTATAAATTATTATTTTGTCATATCTTGCCCTGTCCGACGTCTCCCTTCACCCACTTTTCTGTTGTCCGTCCCCCAGGGAGGAGGCCACATGTAGATCCTTGTAATCGGTTCCCCCTTTCCAACCCACTCTCCCTCTACCCTCCCAGTATCGCTACTCACTTTGGAGGCAGCCTTCCTATCAGAACATTTTAAAGGAGGCCTAGCTCTCTAGGGCTGCTGGAACAGAAATGCCTTTCAAGAGCAGAATCTTATTTTCTCACAATTCGGGGGAAGGGGGCGCTCTAAGTCCAAATCAGGGTCCTTCCTTGTTGCTTGTTTGGGCATTCCATAGTTCTTTGGTTCCTTAGCAATCCTCTGTCTGCTTCTTTGTCTACCCTGCCCTTTGTGAATAACGTATACGTGATTAGGTTAGGCTGCATCCTATACTGGCAAGGTCTCATTCACCTGAAAAAGAAAACTTGCTCCCAAACAAGATGACACGCACAGCTGGAGGGGTGAAGCTTCCAACACGTATTCTGAGGGCACACAATTCAGACCACAACCGAAGGGTGTGGTCCTCACACTTGTAGTTTCTCCCTCTCCCAAGGGTCCTGTCTTGCTACCAGTGACTCTGTCTCCCACTCCACAGACTGGAGCCTGGGGCTGCTTCGACGAGTTTAACCGCATCAATATTGAGGTCCTGTCAGTGGTGGCCCAGCAGATCCTGTCTATCCTCTCAGCCTTGGCTGCCGGTCTAACTCGTTTCCATTTTGAGGGTTTTGAGATCAGTCTGGTGTGGTCCTGTGGGATCTTCATTACCATGAATCCTGGTAAGGGGCAGGGGCTTCCAGGGGGAGAACTAGCTGGGTGTCCAGAGCAAATAACACAACCTTCTCCCCGCCCCACCCCTTCCCTAATGTATTTAGCTATGTGCAATCTGGCTAAAAACAGGGTGAGAGGAGAATTAGACCAAAAACCTTCAGGGAGAAGAGAGGACATCCTGTTGTTCTGACTTCGTAGTGACAAAGAGATTAATAACTACTCATGTGTCCATAACAAGGAGGCCTGGCGGGATAGTGGTTCAAGCTCTTGATGGCAAACCAAAGGTCAATGGGTGGAGCCTACTGGTGGCTCCAGGAGAGAATGATGTAGCAGTCTGCTTCCACGGAGATGGACAATCTTGGGAACCCCACACAGCAGTTTGACTCTGTCCCAAACGGTCGCTAAGAATCGGAATCTGCTCTCATTGGCAGAGGGTTTAGTGTTGGCTATGCCTATATAGGTAGCCCTAGGGCTACGGTGCCCAAAGAATTAGTTGCCCAACTACTAGCCGAAGGGTTAGCCATTTGAACCCATCCAGAGCTGGTGCCACCGTGAACCCTCTCGGTCTGGAATCTGCCTCTGAAGATCACAGCCACAAAGTGTCCCACGGAGCAGTTCTACTCTGCACATACGAGGTCCCCAGGACCTAGCGGCAGCTACAGCAACAGTCAGCGAGCTCCTCCCATTGGGCCTGGACCGTGGTTCTGACCCGTCTCCCATGCCTTCTGCAGAGTGAGTGGGAGAACCTCCCTAAAGTGCAGGACTTGTTCTAATGTTCCCCAGGAGCAGCTCTGGGGAAGAGTGTAAGGAAGAACAGGCTTAGGAAAGGGTTTAAGTATTGGAAGGATTGGAGAAGCAGCCAGGATTTCTAATAGGACGGCTGTAGATTTACAGAGAGGACTTGGAGAGGTGCAAGACCAACAGTTTTGAGACTTGAGCTTCAAGCAGGGTTATGGAGAGCGCAGAGACCGGGAAGCGGATCAAAGCAGCATGGGAAGAGCCAGGACTGAGATGAGAAAGGACACCACCTTGGAGTTAGAACGAGAGCGAAATCAAAGATGCTGACTTAGTTTGGACTAAAATTTGGAGAAATCTAAGATTTGGACTTAGGTTTGGATTAACTCTCAGGTGGAACTGGGGCTGGGGAAAATGGGATTGAGTCATTGGGAAGCAAGTCAAAAAGAGGAACTACATGGACTCTCAATAAATGGCTTTTTTTTTTTCCTCCTTCAGGCTATGCTGGTCGCACAGAGCTTCCTGAAAATCTTAAATCCATGTTCCGTCCAATTGCCATGGTGGTGCCTGATTCTACACTTATTGCTGAAATCATTCTCTTTGGGGAGGGCTTTGGCAACTGTAAGGTATGCCTATAACCCTTTTCTCTGCTTGATTCCCCAAAGGCCTCACTATGAACTCATCCTACAAGGAACGTGCACTGTTGTCAGTAGGTTTGGGAAATAGAGGAATTCAAAGGAGAGTGGCCTCCTCTCTAACGACGACACTAATCAGTAATGGCATGAGAAGATTCACAAGATCATTTCTTTAGGATTGCCCATAAAGTACTGTGGGGGAGAGGCCAGCCCCCCACAACTAATCGCGGGTTTGATAGGTGCAATTGTATGGTTAAGATATATATAAAGATTATAATAAAGTCAGAGAAATGGGAGAGTCAAATAAAGAAGTCAGACACATTTCATGGTAGCATGCTCGCCTCCTGGATGGCCATGATCTCACCAGCCAGATCCACGCACAGCGTGGGCCGAGGGCAGGAGAGCCAGAGAGAGCTCTTAATTGTTAACCAAGGCTTATTTCTCTTTAGACGGCGTGGTTACAGGCAACCACACACGTCACAGGAAGGGGCTGCACAATAGGCATACAAGCAATAGGAGGGGTATATACAATGGGCATAGGTATAACAGGAAGGGGATGAGCTAGAGGTGTACACATGATAGGAAGGGGAGGGAGTAGGGGTATACATATGACAACAAGGGCGGACCCTACATTCATGATGGCAGTCTAACCTTGGTCACCCTTGAGTGGGCTTGACTTCCCTGGGCTCTCCTTCAGGGAAACAGTCAACTACTATCCTTATCAGAAGGGAGTGGGCCCTACTTAGGGTGGGACAGACTATATAGTCTGCATGCTCTAGATGGCTGATAACTCCCCAGGGAGAATAACCCCTGATCTACTTTTGCTGATCTCCAAGTGTATAGTCATTTGCCACATGTAGCAAGCAGCTAAGTTTGGCATATATTTAGGGGAGACAACTTGGGAGAAATCTTTCTGTTTCCCACAATGTACCTCCTAGATGCTTAAAGCAGGTTCAAATGGTACAAAATGTTTCAGTAATTGCTACCATACACAAAGGTCATGCATACATTGCACAGCAACCAAATCTGTTGTGTGTGGTATCTTGATCCACATAGGAAACGACCCGCTGTGTCCACTCAAAGGTGGCTGATGATGACACACTGCTTTACATGTGTATTGTCGTCCAGAGCCAATTATATTGCTTTCCAAAAGTCCTGCCACAGTCCTTCCTCCACAAACGTTCAAGAACCTGTTGAGGAGATTGGCTTATTGGTAACTCACCAAAGTTTAGTGCCGTCAAGTCAATTCTGACTCACAGCAATGCTAGAAATTAGCAGACAGTCAAAGCTGCTTGGTTGGTCACCGTATTTAAATCGGGGCACAGCTGTCTACTTCCTGCTTCTGTCAGGTGCCACCCACAGAATGAAATGTCCTCCCAATTGTTCTTAGGTTTGAACCTATTGTTGCTTCCTGTTGAGTTCTAAACACCCTGGACGACAGATTTGATTGCCATGCAACATGCACAAAGCCCTAGTTACCAAGCCCCTTTGAATCTTCATTGAAGCCCCGGCTTAAAGCAGTCCCTAGATGGTGCAACAGTTGGCACTCTCAGCAGTCAACCAAAAGGTTGTCAGTTCAAGTCTGCCCAGAGAGTCTTTGAAAGAAATCCCTGGCAGTCTACTTCCAAAATATCAGCACCAGGCACCCGTGGCAACCCGGAGGCCCCTAGGAATTAGAGTTGACTCTTGAGGGCGGATGGTTTGGTTTAAAATCCCAGAACCTAACTCCTGGCATTCCCAACTGCCCCAGGGTGAAGCAGAGGGGGTTGTTTCTTCTGTTTTGGTTTCCTAGATCCTGGCCAAGAAGGTGTACACGCTTTACTCACTGGCCATGCAGCAGCTCTCCAGACAGGACCATTATGACTTTGGGCTTCGTGCCCTCACCTCCCTTCTGCGCTATGCTGGCAAGAAGCGCCGCCTGCAGCCCGATTTGACTGATGAGGAGGTAGAGCAAGGATACAGCCTTTGGACAATAGCCTCTGTCATGCCTAGTCTTATGTGCCTTCATAAGTTCTTTGTTTGGTTCCTACTTTCCCCCTGGTAGGGATTCCTAGCCTCCTCTCTTGTCTCCGAGGTTGCCTCCCTTCTATCTATCTATCTATCTATCTATCTATCTATCTATCTATCTATCTATCGATATCTATCTATCTATCTATCTATCTATCTATCTATCTATCTATCTATCTATCTATCTCCTGTGTTACTAAAGACAAATTCTGCCATTTCTGTAACTCTTAATCTTCCCCCTAGTCCCTTTGGGTAAGAAAGGTAAACTCCGTGCCTAGTCCTGGCTCCTCAAGCCCGATTTTTCCCATCTAGGTTTTGCTGCTTTCAATGAGAGATATGAATATTGCCAAGCTGACTTCAGTTGACGTCCCACTGTTCAATGCCATTGTGCAAGATCTCTTCCCCGGCATTGAACTGCCGGTCATTGACTATGGAAAGGTATTTGTTCCATCATATCGTACCTGATCTCATAGGTGAGGGTGGGCTTGGGAGGGGGAAACTTGGCTTCCGGGTTTTGTGCTGCCATTCACTGGCTGTGATCTTGAACAAGACAGAAACCTCTCTAACTTCCAAACTTCCCTATAAAATGATGCGTTGTGGGTAGTTTCCACCATTAGGAGTCGGTTCCAACTCACAATGGCTCCCCGTGTGCAAAGTAGAACTGCTCCACGGGGCTCTCAAGGTTGTGACCTTTCCAGAAGCAGATTGCTGGATCTGCCTCCTGATAGGATACTGCAGCGGTCAAACCACCACTCCTGTTGAGTGCTTAACTGTTTGTGCAACCAAGTGACTATAAAATGATTTCATTCCAGTCATGCATCTTACTCTCTGACCGCAACTTCCTACCCTCCCTGGCTCAGCTGCTCAAGTAGTACCGCTCAACAGTTCTTTGCCTTTAAGATTTCTAATCCTTTGGCCTTTCCACTTTTTCTATGTGTGTTCGTCTGGGTAGCCTAGAGAACCAAATTCATAGACACTCGTGTGTGTATAAGAGAGAGTTTTACATAAAAGAGTAATTGTATATTGAGAAAACATCCAGCCCAGTGCGGATCAAGCCCAAAAGTCTGATTTTACCCCATACGTTGATACTAGTCCATACATTCCTCGTCAGCCTCATGAAACACATGCAATGACACCAAATGCACGAGGATCACAGGACAGTGGGTGGAAAGCCTTGTGGACCCAGTGGTGGTGGAAGCATCTCAGCACTGGCGTGCGTCTCCACGTGGCTCCTCCAACTCCAGGGCTCTAGCGTAGCTCCATGTAGCTTCTCCACAGGAATGTCTCCTGGGGTGTGAGTCAGTGTCCCACCTCCAGTGAACTACTTATCTCTTTAGCACCAAATGAGGTCATCAAGCTGCATCCTGATTGACAGGCTGACACCAGATTATGTAACTACCACACTGTGCCCTTTAGCCATCTCCTGCCTCTGCTTACCTCCTCATTCGGGGAGTTTTGAGGGGAGACTAAAAGGAGTTGTTTGAAACGCGACAACGGTGGCATATAAGGTTTTTAAAACAGAGGGTCTTTAGAAGCATAGGAAGTCTCTTATCTGGCAGTATGGTTGATGTACATGTGGATGAGCCTTTCAATAGAAACCACTGAAAATATAAAAACTGATATTTTAAAATGCATTGCTAAGCTGTCAGGAATTCTGAAGTAGGAAGAGGGAGTAAAAACAGGCAGTCTGGGTGGTAAGTGAATGCTAAATCTGTTTTTGCTCCCTGAACTTTTTTTGTTGAACTTGAGGCACTGGGCATAGGGGAGCCCCAGTTTGGAAATATAACAGGAAACCTCTGTATGGACTTCAATATGCAAGGGAAAGCTCCCTCGGCTAATGGGAATGGCACAATCTCCTCTCCCCATTTAGAAGGGTACGTATAATACAGAACCTGGTGTGCTGGGGTCAAATCGCCTTTGAGATTCCCTGGCCATGAGCCAACCCAGGCCTTATGGTCATAATTCCTCTTCTATCATAATTTTCAAAAGCCCTCAAGCATAGAGTTTCTACTGTATAATCAAGAAGCAGAACAACAAAAGTCAAGCTTGGGATTTAAATAGAAGTCTGTTCCAGTTGGTAGTGCCCCCAGGTGGTTGGTAAAGAACGTGAAAAATATCTGGAGGAAGGTGATGTCGGGGTCAGCAGCAGGCACCAGAAGACTTCCCACGGACAAAGGTTCAAGACAAAGGAGCAGCTCGTGGTCAAAAATCACAAGAGGCAAAAAGAAGCACGAGCCGCGGCAGACAGCAGCAGAGACAGGTGCACAGACAAGGAAGGTGTTGCAACAGCGGGTGCAGAACCTTAAAAATCACCACTTTTTAATATATTTAAAGAAATAAACGAGAAATCGGAAACTCTGAACCAGGAGAGAGAGACTTCTAAACACACAGTAGATTGACAAAGAGAACCAGGGGACTTTCTAGAAATGAAAAATAATACAATCGAAAAATAAACATCACCAGAGAGCACTTCTACGTAAGGAAGACGGATTAAAATCGTTGTCTCCAGCCACCCAACCCAATGCCCGAAGGTCTGCTACAGCCCTGCAAGGAGGGTTGTTTGCAAGGAGTACTTTGGAAATGGGAAAGTGGTAACTGTCCGCTTTGGGTCATAAAAAGCACGGGAGAAGTTGTGATTTACTTAGCAAACCTTCAAAGATCAGAAGTAGGGCAAGTGGAGAAGCAATCTCAGAAGGCTGAGAATGTGGCGCATTTGATGCGACTGGACTCTGGAGTGATGTGATATTGGTATTAGCTCCCAATAAAAAGGGGTGTGTGTGTGTGTGTGTGTGTGTGAAGAATGTTAGAATTAGGTACTTCCTCTAGTGAAGTAGGACCCCCAGTGGGGTAGTGGGATGCACATTCGGCTGCTAAGCACAAGGTTGGTGGTTCAAGTCCACCAGTCCCTCCTTGGGATTAATTTGGTGGCAGTGAGGGTTTTTTTTTTTTGAGTTGGCCAGTGAGGGGGGTGGGTGGTGTCAAGGAGGTGTGGCTGGAATGAAGAGCGGAAGTAAACCGTTTTCTTTCCCCCCATCTCCTGTCTCTGTGACATTGCCTGACCGTACCTCCCCCGCTGTGACACAGGAGCAGAGAGCAAACCAGTGCAGGGGTCTGGGCGAGGGACACCAGGGGCTGAGGGCGGAGTGCAACCTGTGAAATATGGGGAGGGAGTGAATATTTATACTTTGGTTCCTGAGACTCAGCCTTCTTCCATCCATCTCTCAGCTTCCAGAATGCTGCTCATCAGACAGGAAATTGGGAAATCTGTTTGGCCCAAGAGGAATGACCATGGCATTGACAATGGAAGCTTTCCGATGAAATGCCCAGATAACTAATCTGCATGGGCACTCACAGTCTACAAGCCCCTCACACCCAGAGCTTCCATTCAGCTTTTTAGTTTTTGATCTTTATCTCTGAGTAGACAGCTAAGGCAGACCATTTAAAGAAAACCTCTAACAGGAAAAAGTGGGAAACAAATAGGAAAAGAAAATTGGAGACATTTGATAATGCAGGAATAAGAAAAAATTAACTCCCATTAATAATCTCAGAGATAAGATTAATATATTGTATCCATCAAATATTTTTTAAAAAGATCAAAAAAGAGAATAGCGCAGAAAGGGGATAAAGCCAACCCAGTGTCATCAAGTTGACTCCACCTCAGGAGAGAGTAAAACAAAGCGGTGACTTTGAGAACTCAGCTGTGCCTGACCCAAGCGTTGGTCTTCTCCATGGCCTCCTCGGCAGGTGAAAGTTAGACGTGGACGAAGGAAGACTGGAGAAGAATCGGTGCATTTGAATTATGGTGCTGGCAAGGAATATTGAAAGAACGGCAGACTGCAAAAGCCCAAACAAACCTGTCTTGGAAGAAGTAGAGTTAGAATGCTCCTTAGAAGTAAAGATGGTGAGACTTGCCTCCCAGACTTTGGACGTGTTGTCAGGGGCAACTGATCCCTGGAAAATGACATCATGTTTGGTAGAGGGGCAGTAAAGAAGAGGAAGACTCCGCAGGAGGGATTGGCTCGGTGGCTGCCACCGTGGACTCACGCAGAAGGACGGCAGGGAGGATGGCGCAGGACCGGGCTGTGTTTCCAGCTGTTGTGCCCTGGGTGGCTGTGCATTGGGAGGCACCCAATGCTATGCCTTTAAAGGGACTACAGCATAACAGCATACAGTAAAGTGGCTGAAGGTTTACAGAGCAGCTCAGTTTTCCCTTCAAGAATCCAGGCACAGTTTGTTTCATATCATTGATTGCAATCCCCTTGTGTTATCATAACACTAAGTCCTGTTTATAAGAGACACCCCTAAAATATAAAGCCAGACAATTGAGAGTCAAAGGTAGAAAAGATGTAAAGGACAACGAGGTAGCAATATTAGCAAAACAATTCTAAGGCAAAAAGCATGAGTAGAAATAAGGAGGGTGACTTCATAATAATAAAATGGTCACTGTACTCGGAAAATGTAATAATTCTAAACTTGGAGGCACCCAATGCTATGCCTTCAAAGGGACTACAGCACAATCCTGCAGCATTGCCAGGAGAAAAGGACAACCCTGCCACCATAGTACAGATCCTAACAGATTTCTCTCAGTACCGAGAGACCAAGCCAACTGAAATTCAGGTGGAATTTAGACGGCTTTGTACAACACCATTGTCAGTCTTGATTTAATAATAGCCACCACTGCACTCAGCAATTGAAGACAGTTCTTTTCAAGCGCCGTCTTGAGCACGGACGGACCAGTCACTTCCATCTGCCTCCAAATATGGAGAGAGCTGGGACTGAAGAAAGAGGATGCCAGCTACGGACTGTGATCTACAAGTTCATTCAGGACTTGTATTCCAGGTGACCCCTGGGTGGCCCCAGGGAAGACTGACACTCCACACCCACCCCAGTGGGAATCATGGGCTGTTATAACTGATGAACAAAGGTGGCTTGGCGCCAGAGTCCTGGACTCCCAAGGCCACTTCAGTAGGCGTTACACAAGAGTGACTTCACAAACGGAAGTGAGCTGGCCAAAGTGTAGCTCGATTGGGCCTCACAAAAGCCTGTTCCCCTCTAAGTGAATAGAGAACTGGTAAGAAACTTGAGCATGTAGAGACCATAAATCTGCCTTAAAAATCTCTAAGGAGCTTTTCAGAGCACATTTCTGATCAAAATATTGTAAGTGTATTGCTATCAAGGAGCTCTGGTGACATAATGGATTATTCGTTGGGCTGCTAACCACAAGGTCGGTGGTTCAAACCCACCAGCCCCTTCATGAGAGAAAGATGAAGCTTTCTGCTCTTGTAAAGACTTTCAGCTTCACACACCGACAAGGAGCAGTTCTACCCTGTCCTATGTGGTCCACGTGAGTCAGAATCAACTCCATGACCAACTCCGTGAGTTCTATTGAGACCAGGCAAGGAAGACTTTAAGATGAAAGGTAATGTTAAAGGTCAAAGATGTCATGGGCCAAGCCACAGAAAAAGATATCAATTCCAAATGTATATGGAAGTAATGATATAATCAGAAAACAGATACAACAAAATTGACAGAGAACTAAGCGAAGAAATAGATCGATCCAAGATCCTATGGGAGATTTGCACAGATTTCTGGCAGGCAAAAAATTGTAAATGCATTTGAATACTTTAAAAAGACAATCCACATGCATGGGACCCTACACCCACATCCGACTATTGTAGGTACATATTATTTTCACGTATGTGTGGAGCACTTACCAAAATTGACTGTGTGTTGCCTTATAGAGTATAAGCCAAACTACACCAAACTCGCTGTCCTTTAGTCGATTTGGACTCTCATAAATTTCAAATGATTAAAATTAAACAGAGGAGGTCTCTGACCACAATAGAATTAAACCGGAAATCAAAATGTCCTTGAAAAAGGCCCAAATGCTTGAAAATTAAGTAACACAATTCTAAATGACACAAGAGTCAACCACCCTATGAAAAAGTATGATTGTTTCCATTTAACAGATGCAGAAACGGAGGTCGCTGAGGACCTAGGCACCCGATCCCTCTACTCTGCAGTTGACAGGCTTTCAGTGAATGAGCAGTGAGCAGTGGTATCACATGATCAACAATCTGAACTGCATCCTTCCAGGCATGCACGACATTTTGACCCGCTGTCTCCAATCCCTTCATTTCCCTTTCCTCAGCTTCTGGAAACCATCGAGCAGGAGGTCCGAGGGTTAGGCCTGCAGCCCACAACATTCACCCTCACCAAAGCGATTCAGCTCTATGAAACCAAGAACTCCCGGCACTCCACGATGATTGTGGGCTGCACCGGCAGCGGCAAGACGGCCTCGTGGCGGATTCTGCAGTTGACCCTGTCCTCCCTAAGCCGTGCTGGAGACCCCAACTTCAACATTGTTAGGGTACGGAGTGGGACAATGATGTCCGTGGCAGAACCTGAAGTGGCAGGAGGTTGGGGGGAGAAGTGCAGGCCGGGAGGGGTGTGCTAGGTCACCAGGAGGGAGCGAAGGACCAGACTCCCAAGACGGGGGACTGGAAATGGGAGACGTGGGGGACTGTGCCTGCCAGCAGCTAGGAACCACCACAACAAAACCTTCTTGTGTGGTTTGTTTCTTTAAAAACAAAACAAAATACCTTTTTGTTGTAAAGTGGCTGAAGGTTTACAGAGCAGCTCAGTTTTCCCTTCAAGAATCCAGGCACAGTTTATTTCCTATCATTGATTGCAATCCCCTTGTGTTACCATCACGCATCCCCTTTCCCATTTCCATCCCTTCTCCTCATGCCATCTTTAGGAGTTCCCATTGAACCCCAAGGCCTTGTCCCTGGGCGAGCTGTATGGGGAGTACGATCTCAACACGAATGAGTGGACAGACGGCGTCCTGTCCAGTGTCATGCGGATAGCATGTGCAGGTACCCAGAGAGCCATGGGGTGTGGAGGGAAGATACTGGACTCTCCTGAGGAGGTGGGAAGTTTGGGGAGCAGAGCTCAGATTTGGGCAAAGAAAGCCCAGGCATGCAGAGGGATGAGGAATCCTATGCTTGCATCCTTCCTGGGGCGGGGGAGGGCTAGGGGGTTTTGTCTCTCACTGACCTTCTACCTAGATGAGAAACCTGATGAGAAGTGGATCCTTTTTGATGGCCCTGTGGACACCCTGTGGATTGAGAGCATGAACTCGGTTATGGACGATAACAAAGTGTTGACCCTCATCAACGGAGAGCGGATTTCCATGCCTGAGCAGGTGCGGAGTGCAGTCAACCACCCAGGGCCCCGGAAGAGGGAGCAAGTGTTGGGGGGGTGGGGGCGCAGAGGGGAGGAGCCCCAGAACTCTGAGAGGGAAGTAAGTGCTGTAGGGGCGAGCTGCGGAGGAAGATGCCTGCCAGGATTCAACAAAACCTGGGACTGGAGGAGAAATGCTTTGTCTGTGGTGGACGCTGAGAACAGCCATGTGGAAAAGTCCCTGGTGTACCAAGACGCTGCAGGGTATGTAGACTGAGGCAGCCCTCCGCAGTGCTCTGCTGCTGACTGACGTGTGGGCGGCAGCCTGCCCGTGTGGACCAGGGTTCTGAACCCACTGCTTGTCCACCTGACTCTTACAATACGAGTAAGGGAGTGGTGTCTTCAGAAAGGTCACTTTGAATGTGCTCTACCTTTCTTTTAAAAAGCAAATGATCTGCAGACGTCAGGTCATCACGGATCACGCCAGGCTTTGTATTCAGGAGAGACTCCTGAGGGCAGCAGAGTGGTGTGGTGGGCTTCGTGATGGGGTGATGATGTTCTGACAAAGTGCGTCCTTAGGTGTCACTCCTGTTTGAAGTGGAGAACTTGTCAGTGGCCTCTCCGGCCACCGTATCACGCTGTGGGATGGTCTATACCGACTATATCGACCTGGGCTGGAAGCCCTATGTTCAGTCGTGGCTGGAGAAGAGGCCTAAGGTAGGATGGGGATTAAGGAGAGAGGAGGTCACCAGGGTGGCCTATGGGGCACAAGAGAGAATACACCAGGAGCTCCTTCTTCCTTCACACCAGGGAGAAGTGGAGCCCCTTCAACGCATGTTTGAGAAGTTCATCAACAAGATGCTGACCTTTAAGAGAGAGAACTGCAACGAGCTGGTGCAGCTGCCTGAATACAGTGGCATCATCTCCCTCTGCAAGCTGTACTCGGCCCTGGCCACTCCGGAGAATGGAGTAAGCACAAGCCCATGGCAGAAAGGGATCATGCGATACCCCAGGGAAAGTGTGTGTCTGAGACCCACATTGAATACCAGGCTTGTGTGGGACAGAGACTCTGAGGGGAGGGGAGAACACAGTGGGCACGGAGGCCATAGGTGTGTGGGTGGGGTGGGGGTGTCTCTGTGTGTGTGTATGCATCTGGAAGGCCAGCGTACAGATTTGAAATTGAATTTTGTACACAGTGGGGAAATACTATAAATCTCCCACCCATATTTTGTGATCTGAGGATAGTTCATTTGATTCTTCATGTCTCCGCTGGTTCAAAAAGCAAATATTGTGTCTTTGACTATGTAGAGGCTTGGATATGGCTTCTTGTGGAAGGGGCTTACCAGATTAATCTGATGAAGGCCTTTGGAAAAATTCAGATTCATTTCTATTTCAGGCCCCAAATCTCTCCAGCTTAGAATTATGGACTGAAGAGCAAGAATTCATGTTTTCTACTGAGATTAAATTCCTCCGTAGAAATCATTTGTGTTGTTTTATAATGCATTGCCAAATAAATAAAAACAATCATATATCATTAACAACTAAGGTAATCAATAGCAATCTGTGTTGTTCCTGGTACAAACAGAACCTCCTGCCTGCTGTCCAGTCCCTTCTGATCCACAGCAGTCCTAGAGGACAGGTTACACCGCTCTTCGGGGTTTCCAAGGCAATCAGCCTCCACAGAAGCAAGCTGGCTGCCTCGCCGGTCTCTCACAGAGGGACCGGTGGATTCGAACCCCTGACCTTTTGGTTAGCAGCTTACTGCTGAATATAAATGAAAACCATGTAGATGAATTTGCAAGGTAACATGCTGGAAAAGGACATGCATATGTTACTGACAGGCGGGTGGGGTGGGGTCAGGCTTCCTAAATGAACAGCATCTCTAGCAGTATTTTTAAGAAATGAGACGGGAGCGGGGAGAGAGGGGAAAAATGAGGACCTAATGCGGGGGGCTTAAGTGGAGAGGAAATGTTTTGAGAATGATGAGGGCAATGAATGTACAAATGCGCTTTACACAATTGATGTGTGTATGGATTGTGATAAGAGTTGTATGAACCCCTAATAAAATGATTAAAAAAAAAAAAGAAATGAGAACGTGGGTGGACAGAAGAGAAAAAGGAGGGCATTCCTGTTAAAGGGAGTGGCCTTTATAGAAACACAGCGGTGTACTCCGTAGTCTGGAGCAAGCAGGCTCGGGGCGGTGTTCACATGTAGCCGAAGCTCCTTGCCGAAGCTCCACTGGGAAGGTGGGGACTAGTTTGAGTGTTGGGCTAATCCAGGAGGACCGATGAAGGATTCTTCATGGAACATGGTAGACAATGGGGTTTCCACGTTATTTCATACCGGGATTTTGAGGATGTAGGCTTCCTCTGAGAGTAAATCCAGTATTCTGGATTGGACAGCATCCTGGGAAGCACACGATCAGCCATTCTAGGTATTTGGAGTCTACCTTCAGGAGCCCTCTGCTCATGGGTCTGTGGCTGTTTCCCACAGTAGGTTAGAGATGAGAAATGTGGTGCTCAGTTGCTTGTCTGTTCATCATTTTCCCCCGGAGGCCTGTTGGAGACTGGCTGGCTCCATGGGAATCTATGCACCCCTCAGAAAGACGACCTCTTTCTGGGTGCTCGTAGTCAGAGGTGGGGAACATGCACTCTAAATATGCGCTTTCTGCTGCTAAGCTGGCATGCTTGCAGTTATACAAGTAATAGTTGGCCCTACGTACCTTTCTAAAAATTAGAATATTTTTTGTAAGTCAAAAGTCCTTTTGGATTACTCCTTCCCTCGGTCCTGGCCTAATATGTTTGCATTGTCTTCGCAGACCTTTCCTAATACACAAGCCCATAGGTGTCCACAGAACATTGGTATTTTTAAGAAATGCGCCATGCTATCTATTGCATTTGCAAAATGCTTTTAAAGTTAACAGCACGTTTTTTGAGCGTGTCTTGCTTATTATTGTTGCTAACTGCCATCGCCCAGTCAGCCCATGACCAGATCACGACCCTGTCTGCTCCCGTACCATTCCCATGATCACTTGCAGCCCTGATAGTTTTCACTGGCTGATTTTGGGAAGGAGACCACCAGGCCTATCTTCCTAGTCTGCTTTAGTCTGGCAGTGCCCTTTAAACTTGTTCAGCATCATAGTAACACACAAGCCTGCAGTGATAGGTGGGTAGGGGGCTGTGCATGGATCAGGAATCGAATGCTAGCCTTCTTTAAGGGAGGAAACGTTTTTTCCCACTGATGCCCCCCCTCTGTCTTCCTACTAGATTATGTTCATGTTTTTAATTGTTGTATTCAATCCCACAGCAGAACATCACATTTTTATTTTCCATTCCTCTGCTGATGGGCATTTATGTTGTCTCCATTTTTGTTGTTGTTGTTGCAATTACCAGCAAGTTTACCACAAATGTGTCTTGCCCTGTCTTCTTGATGCCACCTGGATGCTTCCCCATGGTGACCATGGTGTGGCTGGACCTGGGCAATGTCTGTATCGTCTTGTAGAGAGGAAAGTTCAGGGCAACTGCTGAACTACAAGGAGTTTCAAGTTTGTTTCAATCTTTTAGATTTAGATTTATCTATAATCCTGTGATTTTCCAGATCAGACCAGGGAGGGAGGGAAAACTGAGAGCCTTTGGGATGTTCTGCTCACCTTTTCTCTTCTTCCCCATAGTTGAACCCAAGTGATGGAGAAAACTATGTCAGCATGGTGGAGATGACATTTGTGTTCAGCATGATCTGGTCTGTGTGTGCCTCTGTGGATGAGGAAGGCCGCAAGAAGATTGACAGTTACCTCCGAGAAATTGAGGGCTCCTTTCCCAATAAGGTCAGGGAAGTTAGAGACCCATTGTCCTCCCCCCACACCCCAACTCAAAGGTTTCCCTGATCCTCTGCCTTTGTCTGAGTTTCAGCCTGCCCACCCAGCTCTCTCTCTTCCAGCTGTGGTCTGGGTGTCCTTGACCTGGACTGAGGGGAGCTAAAGAAAACCTTTGGTAACCCAGCACACCCAAACCTCTTCTCAGGATACCGTGTACGAGTATTTTGTGGACCCCAAGATACGGAGTTGGACATCTTTTGAGGAAAAACTTCCCAAGAGTTGGCGCTACCCTCCAAAGTAAGAAAGGGGTCTTGGCTCTGGACAGGCCGTGGGGCCGTGACTGAGGGAGGGGCAGTAGCAAAACGAACGGGCCTGCGAAGCCAAAGTGAGCTGTAGAAAGGAGTGCTGAATTCCAAAGACAAGGTGATTCTTGAGTACAGGAGCTCCTGAAGGAGAAGGCCTGATCCTCGGGCCCCCTGGGAGGCAGGGTGGGTGGTTAGAGACCCGCGGAACCCGAGATGAAAAAGAAGATGAACTCTGAGAGGTCGTGGGAAGCAGGCATTATACAGGAGTTTCTTTCCTTCCCCAGTGCCCCCTTCTATAAGATCATGGTGCCCACCGTTGACACTGTCCGCTACAACTACCTGGTGAGCGCCTTGGTGTCCAGCCAGAATCCTATCCTGCTGGTGGGTCCCGTGGGGACTGGAAAGACGTCCATTGCCCAGAGCGTTCTGCAGTCTTTGCCCTCCAGCCAGTGGTCAGTGCTCACTGTCAACATGTCTGCTCAGGTGCGTTGCAGGACCCGGGGAGCCAGAACACCAGCTCCTGCTCTCCCTTTGCCTTGTGCTCACCCCTGGGGCTCAAGTTCCTGGTTGACCTGCCTCCACAGCCTCGGATTCCTATTGGGTTTTCACTGTGTGCTTTCGCCCCCCACCAGACTACGTCCAACAACGTGCAGAGCATCATCGAGAGTAGGGTGGAAAAGCGAACCAAGGGTGTCTACGTGCCCGTTGGGGGCAAAAGCATGATCACCTTCATGGATGACCTGAATATGCCAGCTAAGGACTTGTTTGGGTCCCAGCCACCTCTGGAACTGATTCGCCTCTGGATTGATTATGGCTTCTGGTATGATCGTTCGAAGCAGATCATCAAGTACATTCGAGTAAGCATCCCAACAGTCTGCTCTTCAGACCGTGTTCTCTCTCACGATGGCCTCTCAGCCTCCACTCGCTGGGACAGCAGGGTACAAGCCTATAATGTCCCACAGACCTCTGGCTCCTAAGTGATCAACTCCTTTAGTTAACCCTCCTCCCTGGCCTTACCCTAAACTTGTGTTCAAAGGATCCTCTTCTCTAACGTCCACCCCTTTCCCAGCCCTCTTACACTACCCCAACCCGATTCCCACCCCAGAACCTCTAGGAGTCCAGTTCCTCTAACTGTCCATTGAAGTGCCTGCCTTTCTGTGCCCCCGTTACCGGAGCGGCCACCTCCGTTGTATCGGTTCTTTGCTCCCACTCTGGACCGAGGAAGCTCCCTTCAGACCTGGCTCTTCTAAGCACAGGATTCTAAGCATCTTGTTTCTTTCTCTGTCCTTAACCAAGGGACAGCTGCCATTCCTTCCTGATGTCTGTAGTATCCCTTTATTCGACCCTCAGGGGGACTCATTTGTTTCTAAGGAAGCATGCGCGCGCACACACAAGACAAAGAACGTTTAGAAGCCATCGGCAAATTTTGGGGGTTTTGCTCATCGGTATTTTCTGATTTGGGGTACATGGATTATAATGGTAAAAGTAAAGACAAATGGTTACAAGTGGTCCCCACCTGAGGACTGGACTCCATCTGGTCAGTCTGTCATA